TGGGAGCACCGGGGAGGTTGCGGTGCGAAGGTGAGGCTGAAGCGACCCCGACCCCCCGCCCCCCCCTTCCCTGCGTGGCGTCACCCGACACAGAGGGGGCTCCCCAGAGGGGGGGGGGGTCCGCAGTGGCCGGCGGTGGCAGCGTTGCCGCGGGGGGGGGGGGGGGGACGCCCGAGGCGGCGGGGCACGCGCCACGAGCCTCGCAGGAGGTTGGAGATGCTCCTCCGGAAGCGGTACAGCCACTGGGCGATCGTCCCGACCAGGTTCGCCAGGCCCAGCAGCCCGACCTTGCCCACCTCGGAGTGCGCCAGCTTCTGGAGCAGGCGGTGGAGCCAGGAGGTGGTGGCTGCCTCCCGTTCGGTGCCTTCGTCGACGCCTTCCTTCGCTTCCCAGTCGGCCTCGAGCGCCTTCAGCATGGTCCGGGCGCCGTACATGCAACGCATTGCTTGACGAGAGCACTGGTTGAAAGCGTAAGTTGGGCAATCTGCATCCTCAAGTCCCTGCAGCAGGAGCTTGATCTTGTCCGTGACGTGTTCAAACTCCTGAGCGAGACTGCGAGCCTCGTCGGGATTAGCACCGCTGACGTTCTCCACGGCGTCGATACTGCATGATGCTAGGACCTCTGGCTGGCAATCTGCTTCAAAATCATCGATATCGATCTCATCGTAACTCGGTACTCCGTGGTTCAGCGGGTCAAGCATGTCTCGGACATACACCCTGTTCTTTCTCCTGGCTGTCTCGTAGTACAGAGTTTTCTGGAAGCCATACAGCTCAGGCTGAGAAACTCCCCTCCAATAATCCAGCGCAATCGCATTGGCCCTTTCAGCTTGCTCTTGCACCTCCTGTGCAAGGCCGCTGCAGACTTTGCCGCGCAAATGATCGTAGACCTCCTGGGCATGGTCCGCATGATGCTGCAGAGCCGCTGCTGAAGCATTTGGTCCTTGCTCCGTGCACATGGCTGCGATGCGAGTGCTCGTGTCGGCGAAGGTACGGAGGGCCGACAAGCTGTCGACACTGAAGATTTCCGCCAGCGCCTCACCATCATCCTGGTGCTTCAAAGCCTCCTCCAAAGCAATAATGCGCGAATGCACGAAGGCGCTGGCAATGTCCTCGTGGAGTGTTCTCCTAGCCCGGTATTCTTCCAAAGCGACGTCCGCTGGCCCCTCGGGAGCGGCACTGTGAAGCGTCCAGCTGGAGTCCAGCTGGACTTTTCCGCAAACACCGCTGCGCTTGAGCGCTTACACCTCAGAGCGGAATGTCATGTAACCTACATGTGTCGAATATATGTGGTTGTTCACCTAGTTCCGCAACCTATGTGACGGCCACTTTGACATGATTCAACCTACCAACACCTCTCCATATTACCTTCGTTCTGAAATTGGACAATTTATTCCCTTCGTTCTAAAGCTGGACAGTTGTCTGGCTCCGGAAACGTGAACCCACACATGCGGACGCCTCACTTCTGACCTCCGCAGCATTCCGCCGGACCTCCGCCAACGGACCCGTCGCCGCTCTACTTCTGCCGGGCCCCGCCGAGGGAACTCGGCTCAGGCTGGAACGCGCATCGATTGGAGGCCTGGAAATAGGCACCAACACCAAGACAGGGGGCTGCCTCCACAGGGGAGAGATGATCCTAGATTCCGGTGTTGGTGGTAATATTTCGGTCACCTTGAAGCCAGAATGTTACCACCATCACCGAGATCGGGATCTTCTTCCTCGGTGGAGGAGCACCGCCGATATTGGTGTTGGTGTCAACCTCTAGGCCTGCGACATCGAATCGGGTCGCATCGGCACGGCGTCGGAGTCGAATGGCGTCGGCCGCGCCACGATGCACAACGTCGCCGTGCACGCACCTGGCTGCACTCCCCGACGTCCGGCCGCTCCCACTTTTTCGATGCGGGGGCCCCGGAATCTGGACCACTTCCCTACAGGGCCGGCTTTTCATCCCGGGTCGTTTTCTGACGGTCCCGAGGCCTTGCGAAGGCCCCCGGAAGCCGAAAACGGCCCAAAGCCCGCGGCTCCAGATTTTGTCCTCCTTCTCGTCCTCCTCCTTCTCCTTCTCCTTCTCCTCCTGCTCCTCTTCCTGCTCCTCCTCCTCCTGCTCCTCCTCCTGCTCCTCCTCCTGCTCCTCCTCCTCCTTCTTCTCCTCCTCCTGGAATCGGGCCGAACCGTTCCGTCGCATCGATCGAACCGAAAGAGAAGCCCGGCTTGTTGACCGCTGCCTCTCGGCCTTGTCCCGTATCCCCTGGGCCTCCTACCGTAGACAGACGCGCCCCACGACTCGCAAAGCAACTGCTCACAAATGGCCTGGATCCGCTGCGGTCGATCTACGATCCACCACATCGAGGAAGACAACTGTGACTTTCGGACGTTTGCGAGTGGGCACTTTGCGAGTAATGGAACGCGCCTGGTGAGGCCTCTCGCGTCCCGGTCTCCCCCTCCTCCTCCTCCTCCTCCTCCTCCTCTTCCTCCTCCCCTCCTTCCCTTCTCTCCTTCTCCT